AGCTCGAAAGAGGGAGAATGGGAATGGGGTGAATGAGTGGATGGGGGAGCACAACCCCCACCACTCAAAACCTTATCCAGGACCCTACCGCCAGAGATCCTGGTGGTAGGTTGTTACAGCCTACCGCCAAGGCCGGCGGCGGTATGTCCCTTTGCCACGTGTTAGTGGCCGTTAATGGCCAGACGCTGTCAAGGCACCTGCCGCCAGGGAGGGTGGCGATAGCCTGTGTAAAGCTACCGCCAGGGACTGCGACGGTAGCAAAAGGGTCAAATCTCGAAAAAAAATCAGAGCGGGGTCAGATCCTGATAAACTACATCAAAAGGGTCAAAACACGAAATTTAGCCACATTGTGCGCTTCATCAAAGCTCAAAAGGCCTAGGAGCAACTCCGCGCCAACCCAAACTGCCATTTTGTCCCTTTTTGTCTATCTGCGTCGACCGTCATGTTTATCATTTAGGTCGTGTGTTCAACGTGCCGACTCATGTTTACCGGCGTAGCCGGCTGGCCGCCGTTTTTCAACAAATATGCACACATTTTACATAGTTTCACAAGAAAAAAATAGCATAGTTGCACAACAAAATAAAACATAGTTTCACAACCAAATAAATTTAGCATAGTTTTACAAGCCAAATAAAAAATAAATTGTCTCAAATACATGTGAAAAAGATACATCTATTGGTTGCCAACATGAGCCCACATATGCTCAAGTCAAATCATTTTGCAGCTGCATGTGAGTTTTCCAATCATGCATTTCATGATGAAATTGGGTGAACTCTGCAAACGTTGCCGCTTCTCGATGCTCAGACACAACATTCTCACCCTAAAACTGAAACCCTTGATCATAGATACGTTCCGGGGGCTCATCGTCTATTATCATATTGTGCATGATCACACAAGCAGTCATCATCTTCGACAACTTCTTGGTGCTCCAAGTCCTAGTAGGATACCAAACGATGCCCCATCAAGATTGCAGAACACCAAAGGCGATCGCTGAGGATAGATACCGTCACCTAGGTAGTATCCTTTGTCGTAGTTGTGGTCGTTGATGGTAACATTCACCGGCGGGCTATTGGCTTCGGCAAGCCTTGTAAACACCGGTGAGTGTTGAAGCACGTTGATATCATTGTGCGATCCGGCCATGCCGGAAAAAGAGTGCCAGATCCAAAAATCTTGTGAGGCCACGACCTCAAGTATGACAGTGCAAGGCCTGACATGGCCCTTATACTGCCCTTGCCAAGCAGAAAGGCAGTTCTTCCACTCCCAATGCATACAGTCTATGCTGCCAAGCATCCCTGGGAAGCCCCTGCTGGCATTCATCGCCAACAAGTGGGTTGTATCTTGAGTAGTCGGCTCTCTCAAGTACTCAAGGCCAAACACAGCAATCACAGCCTTGCAGAACTTGTACATGGAGTCTAGGCATGTAGACTCGCTCATACGGACGCACTCATCAATGAGATCACTGGGCACTCCGTATGCAAGCATCCGGATGGCTGCAGTGCATTTCTGATAAGATGAGAAGCCAATATTTTCAAGGGAATCCTCTTTGCACTCGAAATAATTATTGTATCCGACCACCCCCTCTCTAATACGGTTGAAAAGATGCCTACCGTATGGAAATGCCGCCGGAATTTCTGATATTTGAACAACGGGTTGGTTGTGTGAAAGTAGTCCCTCCAAAGAAGAAAATGACAGCTCTCTCTCGGTTGCGATTCAACACCGGAAGGTGCCCCGGGATCAAGCCACGGAACAACGACCGCTGCCTATTAAGGTGGTCATGGACCAACACGGCAGCCAAGATCTCCTCATCATCATTGGACGAGGAATCATCAGAGTCGCAAAGGAAATTGTGGAAAAAGAACTCGTCGGCGGAGTCTATTTTGTACTTGGCAAACTGTCGAACAACTTGCGGGCATCGACGAAGAAGCTGGACGGCGAAGAGATGCGCGCCTCCCTTGGACCAGGTGGCTGTCCCGGCGGCGTCCAACGAGCGTGCCGGGGCGGGGAGGCAGCGGGTGTTGTCGGATGAAGGAGCTGGCTGGGCCGGGGAGGCGGCTTCCTGCTCGCGACATCGTCAGGGGTGGGGTGCTAAGTTTCGGTGCCCCGGCGGCGAGGCGGTGGTCGCGGCAGCGTGGGAGGTGGCGGCGCTGGGGGAGGTGTGTCGGCACCGGCTTCTGGCAGAGGCACCGGAAATGGGCGGCGGCGAGGACGGGGCGGGGGCGGACAAGAGTTTGCTATTGATATGGGGTGGAAGAGGATGGCCGATGTGCGACAGACTAGCGGGCCAGGGGAGGGGTAGGCGCGCACCGTGCGCGTCGGCTTCATGTCTGCGCCGACGCAAATGAGCCTCAAAATTGGGCCCGGAATAGGTCGGCGGACGGACAAAGAGCGGACCCGCATTCGTTTAGATCGGCGTGTTGGACCGACTTTTCTGTCAGCACCGACCCAAACAGACGCGCAAGAATGAAATGGATCGGCACGTTGAAGTCACTCTAACAAATGCTACTCCGACGACAGACGAACAAGCATGCAAACGATCGGAAAAAATCACCCACCAAACCCAGTCAAGGGCAATATGCAACGGGCTGCGACATTTCAGTAATTTCACTGGTGGACTATTACCAAAAACACGATCCAGTTCATCCTTTTTGCAGGAAAAAAAAGGTCAGATGCCGCAACAAAGGATGGATCACAATCTCACATGCATCCAATTGGTAATCGCTGGAATGGATAGGCAAAGTTAACACGACAGAAACAGATCAAGAGTTTACTGCCTTACTTCCTGACCCAATGACCCCTAGGAACACTGAGCCAACAGGGCACATCATGCATATATAGCGCTAAACTGAAGTGACCAGTACTACTACAAATCCATGTCTGAACTGAAACAGTGGTAAGACAAACAAGCAAGCAAAAAGTTTCATCCATTTTGTCCAATGAGTGTTGCCCAAGCCGACGCCAATTACCAACTGCTGATCACTCAGCTTCAACCTGCAACCAAGGAGAAGGAAATTCATCAAAAAGGAGAAGGAATTAAAAGGCACAATCACATCTGGATTCAGTCATCTAATTCGGCTATAGATTAGTGAAAATAGCACCACAATGTAGCACTTTAATCTAACCGTTGTTTCTTTTCGAATAAAACAGCTGATTCAGTGTGCTTATTGATGATTATGCACACATTTCACACCATGGAAACTGAAAAATTAATAACACTTCTGTCAATATCTACACAATAGCTAGGACAAGCTCCAACTGTTTCATTTCTGACTAATATGAATAGCACAGGGAGCTGGCACAAGCATTTGTAATTGTTTGGGAAAAGGCGTCTGAATACATAGTAGATCCAGTCCTCATTCTAGAAAAGGGATCTAGTATTATTACAATAAAAAGAAATGCTAGATTTGAGAAGATGATCTTCCAGTCATGGATTCCAATGATAATTTTTTTAGTTAGAAGCACATGAACTTACCACACATCAATTCAAGTAGAAATATGCATATGTTCAAGCATATTGACATGAAATTCACAAGAGGGGTCATGGTTAAATTGGTTATTCGTTCAAATAGGCTTGCTTCATATTAGTGCTTATGTGACTAATAGCAGATTCAATCTGAATATTGATGGATTAGTGGAAGATGCATATTGAAAACAAAATGTAGCACAGAGATCATCCTACTACGTAGCTAGTACGAGAAGAAAAGAGAAACATGAGTTTCAAAAGGGCAATCACACATTCGCGGACTAGTGGAGATAATTTGTCAGTTTCTATAATACACGTGCATGCATCTATATGGTGAAGTGGATCTTCGAGCAATTTACTTGCATTCCATCTATAGGCTTGTATAGTGCTTTCCAAACAAAATGTTGGCAAAGTTTCCACTTTTTTTTTAAAGTTCACATAATTCAACACATGTGTCTTTAAGTTATAACTAACATGCAGCTTCCAGCTCCTGCTTTTTTTTGGAGATAGCTTAGCAAGCTTCCAGCTCCTCCAACAACAAGCGTATTAATTTAGCACAAACAAACGTGTATTTCAAATTATACAATTATAAAAGCGAAGTTATATATCTCTCTGAAATGAAAAATCATTGACAACACTTGAGCAGAGTAAGGAGCCATAATATTTAACTTTTCAAATGTCCGTTTTATGCTTAAACTTCGAGTGGGCTACATGTCTAAATACATTGACTTGTTTGTTCTTTAAAGGAATGCATAAACGTGAAGTAACCGTCTCCTCTAAAGAACATGAATTTACAGTGGGTGGAAGATGGAATTACCTGAGCAGCTGAGAGCCCGTGGCAGCTGCCAAGCGTGAACGAAGCGGGTAGCCAAGTGCTCGCTAGGCGGGGCAACCAGCTCGTAGACCTCACACTCCACAACCTTGCGAGCGCCCACGTCGATACCGAGCAGATCTTGTCGAGGAAGAAGTAGACCACGTCAGGGTTGATGGGATGGATGAGCCCAAGCACCGGGATCTTCTTTGGCAGACCAGTCGCCTTGTAGCTCGCGTCGTTGCAGATCTCCGCAAAGGTGGCCTCGTACTCCAGCGTCCACTCCGTGGACTCCGGATCGGCGAGCGTCCAGACGCTGATCTGTGCAGCGCCCTGGCTGTTACGGTTCCGGTACATGTCCAGGAACCGCAGCTTGCCGCCGCTGACACGCACGCAGCGGTACTTGTCGAGAAATCCCCAACCCTCCCTGCACTTGAGCACCTTGCCCGGCGGTAGCGGGACGACCCTCAGCACCGGCGCGTCCTCGAAGGGGTCGCAGGTGAGGAGGCACCAGGAGAGGTCGACCCACCAGAGCCTCCCGTAGTACGAGACCGCACCGTTGGGGGCCAACTGCCGGAAAGGAAGCGGGATGTGGATGCCCTTGCTGACCCACTCTCCGACGTCGGACGAGAAGCGTAGGAGGGTGCCCTCCTGACCGCCGAGGATGGGCTGGAGCTCAACGACCATGTAGTGGCCGCCACCCCGCGGGGAGGAGATGAGGCCGAGGTGGCCCGAGTGCAGGATGAGCTCGGGCTTTGGGAGCGGAAGGGCGGAGGCGGTTGTAGCGTCAAGGACGAAGTAGCCCGCGACGAATGGGCGCCAGCCGAACGACTGGTTGCCGGCTGTGTCGACGATGGTGGGGCCCGTGGCGCGGCCCTGGTCGGCGTGGAGGAGGAGGAGGCCGGTGGGGTCGACGGCGACGACGGCCGGGAAGTTGTCGGAGGTGGTGCGGGCAGGGAAGATGCGCGGGGGGATGGTGAGGGTCGCAACGCGCGGGGGCGCCGGCAGAGCGAGGGAAAGGTCGGCGCCCGGAGGGAGGTCTGCGTCGGCCGCCGTCACCCGTGGCACGCGGCCCAGGATGACCCAGGAGGAGGACGCGGGCGCCATCTCGGCCTCGGTTCGTGCGGGCGCCCGTGTGCGGCGGTGTTGGCGAGGGTGAACTGGTAGTCGCGGCGATGCGGGGGTAGGGTTTAACGGGAGCAAAGCGAAGAACCGGGTCGTCTCGTCTGAAGTGTGTGGCGAACTCGTGATAATGGCACGGCCGAGGCAGAGGCGCAGAGCTAGCTATGCTGGCGCGGCAGCATTTGGGCAAAACGCAGTTGGTTCCGATCGGTGGCACGGCATGCCAGCCCGCTCTGCTGAGGAGAAGCAGAGCTGCAGCCTTGGACTGTATCCAAAAATCAAAAGGGAGCTTTTCTGTTCGTCGGCTAGTGGCTGCAGCAAAGCAAAGAGGCAGAGTAGAGCAGTTTTCCCATCTTTTGCGGTTACAGTTGGGTGATACTGATACGGATAGGGATACGGATACGGAGGGAGCAGAGCAGGTCGGCCTGGGGTGCAAAACGTCCTGATTGTACGTAGGTGTAGCATTACCGCCCGTGTTGCACCTGTGGAGTACATGATCAGGAAAAGAGATCTCTCACGTAAACGTGTCGACCATGTATGCGCGGGAGTGTTGAACTTCTTGCGCCAGAATTTGGACGTTGGTTTAGGCTGAGGGCTTTAATTTCTCCTACCCGAACACTTTCGTTTTCTGATGAGTCAATTACACCCCCGTGATAAAACTTGGCACGAAAAATCACATTAGTGCCAAAACTTGCGGCATACATTGAACTGGTACTACAACTTGGCTTTGACATGCATATACGGTGCAAATGGTAGTCGTATACGGACAAAGTGCCGACTTGACACGCCAAATGGTGAGAAGCCCACTGTGTCAACGAGTTGATTTTTAATGTTATTTTGGGGAAAACCAATGAGAATTTTTTTTCCGGCATAAAATGCCCTGATGCGTGTCAGTCCGTCTGTCAGATTGTTGTGTGCAATCATAAAAGGCCCTGATGCGCAGCGTGGATGACCAATTGCCTAGCTAATACAAAAGAAGCTGTTTTTGATCAACCAGCAAACTTACGCTGTCTATCCTTGGTCTACATTTCAATGGGATGGTGAACTGGAGACCATACGCCCCATTTTCACTATTATTTTATTTAAAAAGCATCTATATTTCAATTATAATTGTGTGTTATAAATAAAATATATAGAAAAAAAATCTTAAAGCATATTAATGTAGTATACAAAGTGCTCATCCTTTAAGAATTTTTTAAAGGATATAAATGTGTTAGCTTTAAGATATTTCTATATATATTTAATAAATGCTTATAAAAGTTTAAAAGTGTTCACAGTTTTTAAAAAATACTCATGCAGTTATAAATGTGTTCATGCTTTAAGAAATATATATTCACATGATGTAAAAAAATACTCCCTCCATCCCAAAATAAGTGATTCAACTTTGTACTAATTTTAGTACAAAGTTAGTACAAAGATGAGTCACTTATTTTGGGACGGAGGGATTAGTTGGTTTGGATTCGAACCAGCAGCATGTAGCCATCACGTGCGCGTGGCCACCACCCCACCCAACAGCGTTACTTTTCAGAAACTTACAAAATACATGTAAATTATAATATTGTATTATAAATTATATATATAATACATTAAAAATCTATTCACGTATTATTTCATAATTTATCCATATAATAAAATTATAATTAAAAAATTATGCATGTAATAATTTTCATATATAATAAAAATTAAAGGTAATTATTTGTATATATATTTAAGTAAATGAATACATATTTAAAAGGTTCATGCTTTTAATAAAATAATTATGTAGTATATAAAAGTGTTCATTTTTAATTTAAAATTTATCATATTGATAACACACAATTATATACATATAATTTATAATTTACTTTAAAAAATTAGTGTAAAATGGGCTGTAGGGTCTCCGGCCATCTTAAGGCCTATGAGGAATGTTATAATTTATATACATTATGTATCCAGGCAAACAAAATGTTCTTCTCGGTGCATATGGTAGGCACGCCGCTCCATGCTGTAAGTCACGTGTTCGAATCCGAGCGGCCACCATTTTTGCAAATAATTTGTGGGTCGCGCATCAAGGACCTTTTCTGGAGAGAAATGTTTTTTGAGGGGTTTTCCACAAAATGACTGGCCACACGACCTATCTCTATCGTTCAGAGTCTGACAGCGGGTGCCGTGCCATGTGGCGCGCCTAGTCAGCATCATCTCCGTGTACAAACATGATTTGCACCGTATATGCACGCCAAAGCCAAGTTGTAGCACCAGTTATATGTATTCCACAAGTTTTGGCACTAAAGTGATTTTTCGCGTCAAGTTTGAGCACCAGCGGTGTAATTGACTCTTTTCTGATAAACAAAAACATCATGGACGGAGTGTTTTTTTATTGGATGTCGATACTGTTGAATCATAGGTGGGCTTTAGGCCCATATGAACAATGATTCTTGATTAATCTTGAGGCCCATGTGGGATATGGCAGGTGGTGGGAAATTTAGGCCCTATTTGGTTTATAAGTTTTAGGACTTTTTTTAGTCCCAACTTATAAGTCCCAAGTCCATAAAAATTAGTCCTTATCTGTTTGGTTTCTGGGACTTATAAGTCCCTATAAGACCATACTACAACTATAAGTCCCTATAAGTCCCTCCTTGAGAGTCTTATTTCATAAGTCCCAAATGCCTACTTTAAGTCCCTATAAGTCCCTCCTGTTTGGTTTAGATGGGACTTATAGGGACTTTTTTAAGTCCCTAAAACAATAAGTCCCTGGAAACAAACACCCACTTAGTACCACCTTGCTACTTGAGGAGAGTTAAGACCCCTTTATAAGAGCTGCTCTATCACTTGTCACTGAGAGCTTGAGAAGAGGAGTGGTACACGCGCGCCCGCCTCATCATGAATCGCATGCCATGGGTTGCGGGTAGTATTCTTAGGTATCAGTATATACCGTATTTGCTATGTTTACTGTCTACTGGTCGATTAGTCTAATCGGAAAAGTGCTAATATTTCCAAAAACCTTATTTTAGGCACTTTTTGATTCAAGATTTTGCTGCTACTCTGAAACCAGAAAAATTTATCGGAACACATTTTAAGCCTTGGTAGACAAGGATCATCTTGTGGCTCACAGCGATGAACGTGTTCTGGGTTGGTGGTCTGCCCCCCACAGAAACGATTGCTCCTGAACAGGAAAAGGCGTTTAGGGAGGCAACCACAAGCTTTGTGGGAGCAGTTCTGAGTGTGATTGGAGACAAGTTGGTAGACGCATAATTTTTTGAAAAGGGGCGCTTTATTACTTAAAAGATTTAAGCATTACACCCGGCCTCTGCATAACAAGATGCACACAGCCAAATAATGTCCTCTCACACAAACGAAAATTAAAAAAGGCGGAGTACAAAGAGACATGTAGAGTCTCTAGAACGCCTAAAACGGAGCGGGGCCAATCCTAAGATCATGCTGCCACCCATGTTGGATAAAAGTATCCCTCGTCGTAGCCTCCAATCATGTACACATCTCCATAAACAGGTCTCGATTCTTCACATGTTGTAGAGAGGACCATAAACGAAGAGCCCCGGTACATCTGTAGATAACCTGCATCAGAGAAGTATTTTTATCATTAAAAACCTTATCATTTCTACATAGCCAAATCGACCAAATAACGGCTAGCGCTCTTGCCCTGAGAAGAGTTCTAAACCTGTAATCAATCCCATGTAACCAGTTGCCAAATACATTAGCAACACTACAAGGAGGATACAAGCCAGAAGCTATTTGGATGACTGACCATATAAAACGAGCCAATTTGCATTGGAAGAATAAATGTTTTATTGTCTCATCATGGTGACAAAAGACACATTGCGAACTTCCATGCCAATTTCTCTTAATAAGGTTATCTTTAGTAAGAATGACTCCGCGATGAAGATACATGCAAAGTTTTTATTCTTAAGAGGTATCTTCATCTTCCAGATCTTCTTGTTATTATCAATTGGCACATCAGACTGGATTAACGCTCTATACGTAGACTCAATTGAGAACTGTCCATTCTCACGGAGGTTCCATCGAAATACATCAGACCCATGTGACAATTGCACCGTGGATAACCGCTGGAGTAGGACATTTCACGGATGGAGTTTGGGTCCAATTAAATTTCTTCTAAACGTCATATTTGGTGGAAATGATTCCATTACCGTGGCGATAGTATCACCCTTGTGGTGCACAATGTTGTATAGAGTCAGATATTGTTCCCGGAGTGTGGCATTTCCTAGCCACTTGTCCTCCCAGAATCTAATTTCTGAGCCGTCCTTAATAGAGAAGGATCCATAGCAGAAGAAATATTTCTTCGTAGCCATTAGACCCGACCAAAAGTGGGAATCCCCATGCTTCCAGTATATTTGGGATATCACCTTGGACCCCACATATTTCCTCCTTAGGAGGGTTTGCCATACACCATCTTCCGTCAGCAATTTAAACAACCATTTGCCTAGAAGGGCCCTATTCTTAACCTCAAGGTCATGAATGCCCAACCCGCCTTGGTCTTTGGGACGGCAAACCACACTCCATTTAGCCAGTCGATATTTCTTTCGCTCGCTATCTCCTTGCCAAAAGAATCTTGATCGAAAATAATCCAATCTATATAAAACCCCTTTCGGCAACTGGAAGAAGGAAATCATATATAGTACCATATTACTTACTACTGAATTTATGAGGACCAATCTTCCACCCAGAGATAGTAGTTTACCTTTCCAACTACTAAGTCTTTTTTGCAGTCTCTCCTCGACATGTTTCCATTCAGCATTTGTGAGTCTCCGATAGTGTATCGGTATCCCCAAATATGTGATCAGAAACTGGCCTAACCCGCATCCGAAGAGTTTAGCATACATGTTGGCCTCATCTTGAGCGTCGCCAAAGCAAAACAATTCACTTTTATGAAAATTGATCTTAAGACCCGAGAGTTGGTCAAATGGTGATAAAATCAGTTTCATATTTCTCGCTTTCTCGAGGTGATGATCCATGAAGAGAATCGTATT